CCACACTGTCTTTGAAACAATTTTTTAGCAAGGCTGGCAATAGTCAGTATTTACAGAATATGGATGCACAATGTCTTGCATGAATATACTCATTAGTTTAAACCTTTTTGATTGTGTACCACTCAAAAAAACATGTGACTCAAGTCTATACTCTGTTTTCTGTATATTCATCTGACCATCATCATCAATTTTATAAGCCAACAACACTAGTCCAGAAGCTTTACACCAATCATCCTCCCACTGCTGTCTTCCAAGTCATGTTGATTAACTGTATATTTCATTAAAGTATCCAAAGTCTGATTCAGCCATCATCATGCAATGTAGCTCTTCATTGATCACTAACAATTATGTTTGAGAAGTCAGTTTTCATGTACTTCTTCACTCAACTTACACATTTCGCTTTGTGATTTTGACTTAAAGGTGACAGCTTGGATGCTTTTATTTCTTTAGCCAATGTTCTTCATATAATATTCTACATTTTTTCTCACTTTTTACATTTGTATCATCAAATTCTTCAAATATTTTCTTGCTTTTGTAATTTTTCTCAAACCTGTTTGTGACATTCTAGAAACCAGGGTTTTTTTTGTTCTAATTTATATTTTTTTTTTTATTTTTTGCAATTTCCAAAGTTAATGCACCTTTGGAAATTATTATCACTCAATAACTATACAAGATCTTTCTGACAATTTCTGGAAATCTTTACACATAACTATACTATGCTATGAGTATATATCTATTTACAATATGATTACATGCTAATACCCTTGGGAAAGCTATGAATCCTCTTCTTCTTCCTTCAGCCATGGGGAAATAGCAGGACAGACTGGGTTCTATAGCCTTGGATTGCAACTGGTCTACCACAAAAAGACATGGCAACCTACTGCGGGAAAAAATCTATTTCATCAGTTATGTATCAAAAGATACATGATCGCCTAAGCATGTATCACGCATGGCACATAACTGACTGATTTGTCAGGGTGTGGATAGTGGGGTGGTGTATCATATCAGAGAAAAAAATGGTATTGTCAAGCAGTGTTCAAATTCCAGGTGAGTCTATTGCATTGACTTTTGCCCTAATGCTCTTGGGAAAAGAATGAATTTGTCACTTCTACCAAACCCCAGCTTTGGCTAAATAGACTGGGCTCTTTAGCTCTGGGTGGCAATCAGTCTAAAAGAAGAAAAACTATGGAAACAGGAAGATAATCCACTTTCTCCAGAATTCATGGCAATTTACAGATAATGAAGGAAAACAATATCTACATTCTGAAGGAACATGGCACTAAAAAAAAAAGAATTTGGCAATGTAAACTCAAGTATAATGTTGTAAGATACAGCAAGAGTATGTTGAGGTTGGGGGAAACACCTAACCGTTTGCTCTCCCAAGAACTACAGGGTAACATGCAGAGAAAGGAAAGAGAGAGGAGAAAACAAAATAACACTACCTCAGAAACCACAGCATGCTAGGCAGCATTCAACTTGAGGAACAAAATGCCCAAAGAAACAACTTAACAAGATACCAAGACTTGGCAACTGCCTACTGCTGGTTTTTCCATCACTTTTATTGGCATGTGAGAGCTGGCATAGACCCAGATCTGGACAAGTTGCAGAGAGGCCTATATCTAGACATACCAAGCTGCTTGCTGCCAATGTATGGAAAAAGTTTCAAGAGGAACAAACCACCTCACCAAATTCAATTCCTGAAAGAAACCATTCAGTATGTACCAAGGATCATTGGGGGCACCATCAAGAAGAAGGTGAAGAGAAATCCATGAAGGAGCATGAGGTGGGGTTGTAAAAGAACTCTTGGGTATTTCAGATAAGTCACTAAGGAGGTATGTGAAAGAGGATTTATGGACATAACCATAGAAGATTCAACAATGACAACAGCTTTTCCAAGCAAAAACATCTTGGCAGAGAGAAATGCAGTGTACCACAGACACAGTTGTTGTTTTGTTGCATGAGAAGGGTTTATGCCACTTCACCAGGAAACATTCCCAAAGTTGTCTGAACACATTTCAAGTGACAGAACCCAACTTGTATCATGTTTTGGGCTGATAGTTTGAAACCATCATTAGTGTTCATTGAAGAAGGATGAAAAGTGAATAGCAGAGTTTACCAGTAAATTTTGGATTGAGAGATGTGTTGCCCTGGTTGCCAGCTATATTTAGAAGTCACTATGTCTTCACTCAAGACAGGGCTCCTGCACACATGGCAAATTTGATGCAAAGCTGGTACAATAAACATTTCCAATTTGGCCTCCATCAAGCCCTGGCCATAATCCTATGGATATTGCAATATGACCCATATTGGAGAGCAATGTTTCATGTATCTCCTACTCAAGTGTATCATCTGAAAGAAGCTCTTATAAAATTATGGTACAATTTGAATGAAGAGGAGATGAAAAAGCCATACACTTCAGTTGAGAAGATAGTGAGTGAAAGCATTTTGAATTGTAAATATATGTAAAATATTGTCAATAAATATAAGAATCAACCTGCAAACCTTTCATTAACCAAAACCTAATTTTTTTAAATTTTATGATGAAATGTATAATGGGCAAATATATATGCATCACTCAGCACTTGACTATGCATATCTAAGCAATTTTGAGCCAGGACACTACCTAGATGGGTGACTGCTTGGGAATACCATATGTTGTAAGCTTGGATGTGCAGATGGTGTAATTGATAATGGCTTGGAATTATTAAAGGGAGAGCCAAGTTCCTGTTCCAAATGAGTTTGTTACTTTGCGAAAAGCATGAATCCACCTCTTTTCACTCCAGCTATGGGCTAATTAATAAGACTTGTATCATTAAACTATTATTATCTTTAAAATAAAAATTCCTACAATCTAAAAATATTTTCTGGCCTTAAATAACCTGAAATGGGTTGATAAACTGTAGAAAATAAATCATCCTGCCAATAAGAATATCTAATGATTCCACCAAACCAACAGATAAAGAATTTTTTCTCAAATGTCTCTCATAGGAACTTTACACATCTGTATGATAAGGACATTTCTATATATATACCTGCATTCACTCCTTTTTTATTTTTTCTATTTACTTTACTCATGTAATATTGTTAATTGAACATGATTGTTTGTATATTCATTGTTAATCACTTGTTTTAGAAATTCCAATGCATTTATCTTATCAGCAAAATATTCCTCAACAAAATAGATAAATAAATAACGGTCAAAATTTAATAATGATTTATGACTGATAATGCATTTATTTCATTAAACACTAAATATGAAGAAAATATCATTTATCATAAATGCTTTCCCTCTATTCCAAAAATGCTGTCTGAGACAAAGAAGAAAATAAATCTACAGCTTGACTAAATGTTCTTTAAACATTTACTAAAATATTTTGTTCTTTAGTAAAAATAGATTGGTGTGTCTCCAGAATTGCATCTCTCCAAGAAATAATCATTTTTTCAAATTTATTTTTTTATACTTTTATATAATAAACCCTACAAATCAGTAAAGTTTTTTTTTTAAGTTTTAAATTTTTAGTGAGTGTTCAGTTGATTCCCCTACACAAACCAAAAGAAAAAAATAATGCTCATACTATCTGATATAATATGAATGCTGGACAATCTCCTTAGAGATGAGAAAGAGACTTGAAGCAACAGCAATGTGGTTCTACAGAAGGATGTTGAGAATACCATGAACTGAACATGGGAGTAATGAGGAAGTTTTAGAGAAAATGGGAACATAAAGGATACTTATATTTAACATCAAAAAGAGTCAGTTGAAATTTCTAGGGCACAATGAAGAAAGAGAAATTAGAAAAACTGCTTGTTTAAATGGTTGACAGAACTTGTTTAGGAGAGATAGCAAAGAGACAAAATTTACTCAGAGCTACAAATGACAGGAAATTGTGGCATGCCATGAAAACCAACATCCCAAAGGGACATAACACTTAGAAGAAGACAACGTGATAAAGCATATCTTTACTAACCTTGCAAAATTTCAAATCATTTCAAGTTAAAATAAGAAAAGTTAATATTTATATTATGTAAATCATATCTTTTTTTCCTATGTTAAAATAATGCTTATATACAAAATTTTAAATAATTCCAAAACAAGTGCAAAATATGAATTTATAGCATATTCTTACTTACCTTTTCCTTTACCTATTATTATTATTATTATTATTATTATTAACTATTTACCTTTATTTTATTTATTTTTGATTAACATATTTACAATAAATTTACATAGAAACCAGAACACTCCACCTCTTAAATTTTAGAAAATTTTTAAAAAAAGCATGATTTGGTGTGTTCAATTGATTCTTCTTCTTTTATGTACTGTGTCCCTTCATAAAATAGGCAATCATAGCCCTCCACATCTACCTATCCCTTGTAGCTCTAATAAGATTTGTCTTTTTGCTATTTCTCCCAAACCCTATTCTACCATCGAGTATGTTACATGCTGCTTTACCTCTTCCCTAAATCTGTCCTATGAGTATTAGGTTTTCTATGCCCCCTTTCCTCATTATGTGCCCCAGAAATTTCAGCTGCCTCTTTCTGATGGTAACTATAAGTTTCCTTTCATTTTCATTTTATCCAAACCCCATTGTGCTCACATATTCAGTCCATGGTATCCTTAGTATCTTTCTGTAGAACCACTTTTCTGTTGCCTCTATTCTTCATACGGGGGGGGACAGATATCACATAGTTCCCAAAAATATGATTATTTCTTGAAGATGTGTGTTTCTGTGAAATGCCAGTAGATTGAATTACTAGCTGAATATTTCCTTTTCATTTTAAGCAGAGGAATATAAATATGAGTTGATTTCCAAATTGTCTTCTTTTTTTTTAAAATGTTATTCTATTTCTGTTGTAGTTGTCATTGTTCAAAGACTTGAAGTTGAATATCAATATATGACATTGTTGTTGTTTACTTTTCTAGGACTCCCTTGATTGCTGGCGGGCTGTTTATGATTGATAAATCTTGGTTCAATCACCTGGGAAAATATGATACAAACATGAACATATGGGGAGGCGAGAATTTAGGTAAGACTCACTTTTACATCCCTTCCAGATAGTACTGACAAATTATCAGCTTTCATTCTTGAAGCTTTCTTGACTATGCTGTTACCCCATATTATATCATCTGAAAGAATGCTTCCTATCTCTTTATAGTCTTAATAGCTTATTATATGACAAACTTGACAATATTCAAGCTTGGCACATTCTTATCTGTTTCTGTAACTCAGAAGCAAATTGTATCATAATTCCAACTTAAAGGACTTCTTAAAAATAATGTTTTATGTTATTAGCATTGAATACATTCAAAGCTAGAAGTTATTTTCATACAAGATAAACATAATGGTTGGGCTAGAATAGTGTACTTCTACTTCAGTAATTTTTATTTTTTTTTTTACTAAATTTCAACTAGTGCCAGGTTCGAGATCCACTCAAGTTAGAACGTTATAATCAAATTGGTAATGATGAATGAGGTAGGTGATATGAATAGAAGAGAAAGCTGTAAGAAATGAAGATTTTTTAAATTAAATTTGACCCAATACAAAGCTCAAGAGCCACTCTAAGCAGAGCATTACAATCGAAATGGTAATGATGAAAGAAGTGTGTGGTAAGAATAGAAGAAAAGGTAAAAAGATTATGAGGATGGGGGAGAAAAGATTATGATTGACATTTACCTTGAAAATGACAAAATTAAAGTGTTGAGGGAAGCATCCAGATGAAAATTTGTTCCTCATAGTGTTAGTCCTTGTGAAAAAAGCTGTCAGAGTGGAACTACTTTCTTACATTTGAAACACTGAGGAACTGAGTGTGATTCAACTCTGTCAAAATAACATGGCACGTCCTGGCAGTCAGTTATGTGACATGTGTGATATACGCTTAGGCAATCATGTATTTTTTGATACATGACTGTTGAGGCAGATTTTTTTCCCACAGTAGATTGCCATTTCTTTCTGCAGTAAATCAGTTACCATCCAAGGTTATAGAACCCAGTCTGTTCTGCTATTTACCCATATCTTGGGGGAGAAGAAGAGGATTCATACCTTTCCCAAGGGTATTAGCATGTAAGTGAATGTAATAGATTTGACTGGAATTCAAACTTGGCTTTCCAATCCTCAATCTGAGCTACTATCCATTACTCCACCATGCCTCCTCCTTAATCCACCATGCCTCCTCCTTAATCCACCATGCCTCCTCCTTAAACCACCATGCCTCCTCCTTAATCCACCATGTCTCCTCCTTAGTCCACCATGCCTCCTCCTTAAACCACTATGACTCCTCCTTAATCCACCATGCCTCCTCCTTAAACCACCATGTCTCCTCCTTAGTCCACCATGCCTCCTCCTTAGTCCACCATGCCTCCTCCTTAAACCACTATGCCTCCTCCTTAATCCACCATGCCTCCTCCTTAAACCACCATGCCTCCTCCTTAATCCACCATGCCTCCTCCTTAAACCACTATGCCTCCTCCTTAATCCACCATGCCTCCTCCTTAATCCACCATGCCTCCTCCTTAAACCACCATGCCTCCTCCTTAATCCACCATGCCTCCTCCTTAAACCACCATGCCTCCTCCTGGCAGTAAATATCTGAACTGGTGAAACTAAATAATAGAAATTATTTAAATCATTGCCATGGAAATAATATCGCAGTAATAAGCTTGCACCATTGCATCTGTGAGAAATAGAAAGAGTGGAGACTAGATTTTCTCCCACAAGACTGCATAAATGTTTTTGAACTATCACTGCTGGAATGGGAAGATTGAACAGTTCCAGTTCAGATATGATAGCAACACACCATTTTTGGTTTAATCTGACTTTTATAAAGCTAAAGCATGGCATGGCACAGGAGTGATAGAATGAACTGACCATATTTCCAGCATCTTTAGGAAAGGATATATATATATATATATATATATATATATATATATATATATATATATATATATATATATACACCAGTCAATGGCTGATACACCCTGATGAATGGACGGATCGGTCCATCTGTGAATCTTCGGAGTCAGGATGCTGAAGGTAACATCACTCATCTAAGTGAGAAACCTTTTACTTATGTTAATTATATATATCCAGGTCTGGAGTGAATTTGAGACTGAATAGGCATTCATAGTATAGAGCATCATTTTCAGTGGAGTCATTCATCATGACTGGAAAACATTCTGGGACTGAGTAATCATGATAAAATGATACTGTTTTGGTTTTGAGGTACTTAAAGTTGCAAGCCAATTATTTTCCTACTTAGGTGTTACAGGTAGGTCATAGGTGAGATCAGCTGCAAGGCTCTGAGCATCTTGCTTTTTTTAAGTGTGTCCATAAACAGGGGTATCATCTGCATACTAATAATCTGATATTGTTTCTTGGCAGATCATTAATAAGAAAAAGAGTAAAACTGAAGGGAGAGCTTTGGGGATGGCTGCATCAATCTCAAGAGTTTCAAAAAACTGGCCTTTTACAGCAACCTCCATGTAACTGCTCAAGAGAACAGACTTGATGATTGTGTAAACTATTCCAGAGAAGAGAGAAGTTGTGTAGTGAAACCTATGCCACACTTTCTTAAAAGCCTTCAATATGTCTAAGGCAATCACATAGATAACCAAGTCTTATGCAACAGCCTAAAGAATATTATACAACTGCTCACATAAAAAATGATTTGTATGGTATATTCTAAAAAAGAGTTAATTTAATTCTAAACTGAATATATAGAAAGTCCTAGACAATATCATAAATGAAAGCAGGATGAAAGGTCCAACCATCAATTATAAGAAAACAATGTATGGTCATTAGCAATACGAACAGCCCAGAATGTGAGTTACAAATTAGAGACATCAAAATCAAAAGTATCTACAGAAATTTCTCTGTGGAAAATATTATAACAGATAACAAAAAATATGGTGCAGAAATCTGAAGGCACATTGTAATAGCAAAAGATGCCTTTCAAAAACTAAACAAAGTATTAAAAAACAGAAAATTTTCATTACAAAGAAAATAGTGCTGAACTGCTATGTAATATTAATTGATTTATATGACAATAAATGATGGACATTGATGAAGAAGAAACTTGAGGCAACCATAGACAAAGTTTTACAGAAGGAAGCTGAGAATACTATGATGTGAGCAAAGGAGGTTTTAAGGAAAATAGGAACAGAAAGGACACCTGTGCATAAAATCAAAAAGGAACAGTTGAAATTTCTATGATATATAATGAGGAAAGAGAGCTTGGAGAATTTGATACTCACAGGACACACTGAAGACAAAATGGACAGAGTTTAACATCAAGTAATGTTACTACCAAGCTTGTGTAAATGATGGCAGAACAAGAATTGGGCGGGGTGATAGTAAGGCAAACAAACATTTCTTAGAGCTATGAAGGATAAGTGGTGGTGGAGAGCCATTATCACCAATATCCGAAAGCAATACAGTACATAAAAGAAGAGGAATTGGTTCATTACAGAATAAAAGTGGGTATTAAAAACTATTATTTATTATTTATCCATTTTGGTTGTGTAATGTTCCATGAGAAACAATATAATTTTGTTATGTTTGGTTTAGAAGAAACCTTTCTATTAAAAGAAAAAACTGGTAAGAATGTAATTAAAAGAAAAACTTGTATCTTTAACGAATGATTTATTTCATGGAAATGTTTCAACTAGCTGTTGCTAGCCTTCGTCACTCCTTTAATTTGAGTAAAGCAATGCAAAGAAACTAGAAACACTTAAGAATTCAAATCAATGAAAAAAAATATTTCCATGAAATAAATCATTCGTTGGAACTACAAGTTTTTCTTTTAATTATGCAACTACCAACAGAGACAACCATCCTAACTTTGGTAAGAATGTACTCAGTTATGGTTAGTACTCTAAATTCTCTCATATAAAACAGACTGAGTTGTTTTAATTTGAATATTTTTCTTATTATCCCAAGGTATTTTCTACCTTGTCTTCAAACTTAGTTCTATGAAGAGGTACTTAACAGTTGTCAGCACAGCCCATTTCCCAACATTAGAATTCTGACCATAGAAACTACTTCTTTTTTTAATTTATTTATACATCCACGAGCATCTCAATGAATATTCATTCAACATTTTAAAAAAATTAAAAAAAGAAATCTTTAAAATACTGAACATGATTTTCAATTAAACTATAATCAAATCACTTTTGAAAAATAAATTAAAAAAAATATTATATGTAATCATCATTAGTCCCTTGACTGTTTCAATCATTGTGGAGATCAAAGAGCAGAAGAAACAGACAACCTACTTTAGGATGGTTTGTGTAATGGTGTCTTTCAGAAATTCTAGCAATTTCATGTCTATCCATTCTTTGATGTTGTCTGATCAGCTTTTGTGTTGCTGTCCCCAATTGCATCCATTTTCAAAAATGCCTTGTATGATGTTCTTGCGGAGGCTGTTATACTGGATGACATGGTCAAACCTTGACATCTCTGATTCTTAATAGTGGTGAGAAGAGATTTGTGTTGACCCATGAAACTTTTGACCTTTTTTTATATGATAAAGTAAAGGAAGATAAAATTTTCACTTTTAGAAGAGATGTGTTCTGAAGTCTAATGCCTAATTTCTAATGTATACTTTCTAAGCTTTAATATAAATGTTTTTCTTGTATTTTAACTTGATTTATTCAATTTTTATATTACTAAATAATAGTATGATAATGACAACAATCACAAAAATGATTATTTGTTATTAATTATTTAGTTACTTTATTACACTGTTTATTAGTGAATAGTTATTTATTTATCTACTTGTAATGACAAAAGTACGCAGGTGTGGGCTTTAAGAAAGCTTTATTCAACTGAGAATACAAGATTCACATATAGTGTCCTTTTGTAATCCCAATAAATAGAAATCACTCTCTCAAAGAGAGAGTGATTTCTATTTATTGGGATTACAAAAGGACACTATATGTGAGTGACAAAACAAGGAGAGACCACACTTGATTATTTATGACACTATTTAGTTTTATGCTTATTTTTTCTATGTATGCTGCTTACAAGTGC